GGTTAACGAGGTCATAAAGTGATAACACAGTAAACTAGCTGATGTGCTGATATGTGCTTTGACTAACTCAGTGTACAATTCACATCTTGCACACACATAAAACACTTAGCACATTCAATGTTTTCCATTTATTTTTGATTTTGTCTTTTTGTTATCTCTGCCAAAGCTGATGCCAACAGATAACAGTACAGTACAAGCCAGTGAAGTCATGTAGCGTCTTAAATGTCAGTATGGCTCTGTAACACTAATGCACTGGACTGCCTGTCATTCGTCTCTGACAGCGCTCTGCTTACCCTCAATACTGGCCTTTGAATTATTCATGACAACATGGAAATGCCAGCAAAGAGAAGACGCGACGTAAAGAGCTGCTCAGAAGAGCTTCTAATGAAAACAAGCTGATTCCAGATCAGATTCTGCAGAAAGAGAAACCAACAGCAAGAAACACTGAGAAGCGTGAGCGTTTATGAGTCTAGAGACGACAGCATTCCTTCATTCAAACAAACCTTCTGTGTGACATTTAGAATTATGAATGCATTCTTTATAATGCAATTAGTGATTATTGTGTAGCAGATATGTTGTGTGTAAATAAATGAGAGCGGATGTAATGCAAAACACAAACGGCCAAAATACAGATCAGACGCAGGTAAAATCATAAAACAATAACTAGTTCTCTAGAGCACATGACCTGCAAGTCTTTTATTAAAGTCCAGTTTTATATTTACAGATGGTCATATTACAGCTTCTAAGAGTCTATTAATTCCACCAACGATGATAACAACATAATTTTCAGACTTTGAACAATCCTGAGTCTAAGGCTGCTTTGTGTTGTCAGAAGCATATTTAAGCGACATTATTATTTTCTGTTGGCTACAATTAAATAAGTTAATCACCTAAATCACACGGCTGCTCATGGAGGTTTCAGGTTTTCTTCTTGTCTTTCTTAGGGGCCGTATATGAGGAAGTGCGATGCTCTTTTCTGTCATATTTGTCGTGACCTTCCCTGTGGCAGAATGAAAGACACTAATTAACACTAATTAATATCGCAAGTACAGTACTTCAAACGCAGCACATTTCACATTTGGCAAGATCTCATGGAATAAACCCAGTGAATGATTCCTGAATGAGTCCAAATGCTGAAGAGCGAGAGTTTAATGCGCCGAGATTCAGATTAACGCTTAACTCGGTCGATATGAGAGTCAAAATATTCAATCTGACAGAGGGTAAGATGTGGCATGAGGTCTGAAAAAAACTCAATAAAACAGTTTAGTACGGAAGCCCATTTCTGACACATAAGAAAAAAAAACATGCTTTGGTAAATCATATTTATAATTCTTTTTTTTTGTCATAATAATATTGAAATTATGAGATACTAAGTCATAATTATGATTTACCAAAGCATTATGACTATTTAGGTCATAATTTCAACTTTTTAAAAATCTCATAATTATGACTAACCTTATCAAAAGTTTGACTTTTTATGTGATAATTATGACTTTTTAACTTTTGATGTCATAATTATGACTTTTCAACTTTTTATTTGATAATTATGAATTTTTACCTCATAATTATGACTTAATATGTCATAATTTAAATTTTATATTATAGCTATATTATAGTATAGCTTAGTATATCATCATTTGTGACTTTTTGTAATAATTACACCAACTTTTGATGTCATCTTATGACTTAGTAAGTCATAATTTCAACTTTTTATCACATAATGTGTCCTATCCTATAAATATGTCTATTTATCTCATAATTATGACTTAGCAGCATCTCATAATTTCAACTTTTTATCTCATAATTATGTCCTAGCATTTCATAATTTTTACGTCATAATTATGATTTACCAAAGCATTATGACTATTTAGGTCATAATTTAAACTTTTATCTCATAATTATGACTCAGAATGTCATAATTTCAACTGTATATCTCATAGTTATGACTAACCATATCAACATTTTGACTTATGTGATAATTATGACTTTTTAACTTTTGATGTCATAATTATGACTTTTTTTTTTTTACTTTTTATTTGATAATGAATTTTTACGTCATAATTATGACTTATGTCATAATTTCAATTTTATATTATAGCTATATTATAGCATAGCTTAGTATATCATCATTTGTGACTTTTTGTAATAATTACACCAACTTTTGATGTCATCTTATGACTTAGTAAGTCATAATTTCAACTTTTTATGTCATAATCATCACTTTTAAGTCATAATTTCAACTTTTTATCACATAATGTGCCTATCCTATAAATATGGCTATTTATCTCATAATTATGACTTAGTATTTCATAATTTTGACTTGTCGTAATTATGATTTACCAAAGCATTATGACTATTTAGGTCATAATTTCAACTTTTATCTCATAATTATGACTCAGAATGTCATAATTTCAACTGTATATCTCATAGTTATGACTAACCATATCAAAATTGTGACTTTTTGTGAGATAATTATGACTTTTTAAGTTTTGATGTCATAATTATGACTTTTCAATTTTTTATTTGATAATTAATTTTTACCTCATAATTATGACTTCATATGTCATAATTTCAATTTTATATTATAGCTATATTATAGTATAGCTTAGTATATCATCATTTGTGACTTTTTGTAATAATTACACCAACTTTTGATGTCATCTTATGACTTAGTATGTCATAATTTCAACTTTTTATGTCATAATCATCACTTTTAATCATAATTTCAACTTTTTATCACATAATGTGCCTATCCTATAAATATGGCTATTTATCTCATAATTATGACTTAGTATTTCATATTTTCGACTTTTTGACTGTCAAAATTATGACTTTTTATCTCATAATTTCAACTTCATCTGATAATTATGATTTAGCAGCATCTCATAATTTCAACTTTTTATCTCATAATTATGTCCTAGCATTTCATAATTTTGACTTGTCGTAATTATGATTTACCAAAGCATGACCTTTTTCTAAGGAGTAAAGAATGTAAATTGAAAAAGTAAATAATCATATGTTGAAATTCAGTAAATAAATGACTGTTGCTGTTCAAGTCGCCTCTTTAAGCCCTTTGAGAATCATGGTATGGTTGCCAGGGAATTGAGTTGCTAGGATATTCTGTGGTTGCTAGGGTGGTCAGAAGAGCCCACCTTCAAGTTTGTAATATTTAATTTGAGGAATCATTGTCTAGATAGTGCTAGAGGTTTGATGAGTATGAGTACTAGTAGTACTAGTGATGCTCATCTCAGTAAACACTACTGAAGACAACAAGAGAAATGAGACGATCGTCACCCTTCGTACCTAAAGCAGTGGGCGCAGTACAGATCTCGCTCACACGTGTGGCAGCGAATGATAGCGTCCTGATTACAGATGCAGCACCACGGCAGCTCTTCATCATCATCCTCATCCCTATCATCATCTTTTACACGCTGGATCTGTGAGGCAGCAGCGGCCGGCTTTGATTTAGACCGCAGCACTGAGAGCTTGAACACACAAGAAAAAAATAATGTACAATTCAGACAATTCAG